AATTACAAAACTCACATAAATTCACAAAATATAGTAACCATTCGAAAGTAGAGACTTCAAGCTTGAAAACCCCTTTTTTTTTGTTCATTTAAATTTCATTTATTCTTAATAAAATTGCAGCTGTTTGAACTTTGAATAATAAATCGGGCACGAATTTGTGCAGTGATCTAATATCTAAAAATTTAGCTACACCGTTAGATATAATAACGGAGAGGGGGGGGAGAGAGAGAGAGAGAGAGAGAGAGAGAGAGAGAGAGAGAGAGAGAGAGAGAGCAGTGGTAATCCAATCCCTTGATTTGAATAACCTTTTGTTATTTTTATCTTTCATGTGCAATTCATGTGTATCTTCAAAATGCAAATCAATCCATTCAGTGGTTAGTTTCACAAAATAAATAACGTAATATTAACGTAGTAAATAATAAAGTAAATTTGAGTCGAATTTAATACATTTTCTTAAGTTAGATTGTTTAACTTTATTGCTTTAATTAAATTAACGACATGTCGAGCAGTGGCGACCTATAAAAATGATTAAATAAGTAATTCAAATTTGATATTTGACACGAATTTAACAGTGTACGAATATGAACATAATTTTGTTGCATCATCAAAATAATGACGTAGGAATTTCAAGCATAATAAGCAATACCGCAGAATATTCTGACGTTCTAGCAATCACTTTCAGCGTATTATATCATTATTTTGATAATCCAAAGAACAAAATTATTTTCAGATCTGTATGTACTAATAAATTTTGGATATCTTAGCAAAAACATCGTTTTTCAATTATCGTTAATTAATCTCCATTAATCTGAAGATATTTAGAAATTTTTAAAAATTAGCTCGCCGAGCGACTCGCGTCTGTTTCGACGTTGAGAATCCTGATCTCTATTACAGTCGTGATTTCCATTTCGTCAGGTTTGCCACCGTCCGTTTCGCTGTGACACGATTCTCCTTTGTGCGTGCTTTTTCGTTATGGCGCAGTCATGAAGTTTGCCACGTGCTATTTTTTTTTTTTTTTTTTTTTTTAAAGTCAGCCTCACGAGATCGTTTCTCTTGTTTTTACGCCTGCGGAGGAGGGAAGCACATTGAGTAACGATAAATTCTCCTTCCGCGCTTCCTGGCTATCTTCCTTCGCGTCTTCTTGCCGCTCTCTCACGTACTCTCCCTTTCCCTATGAAGTCGCTCGTGATTTCCGTTCATTCACCCTTTCCGGTCATCACCCTCTCTTCGCGCGCTGCCTCCACTGCTCTCTCGCATTGTTGTCTCTTCGCAAACTCACTTCCGCGACGTCTTCTCAGGATCGTTTACCGCGCAGCATCCACCTCCTAATAAATAAAGATGAATGTGTTACTTCCTTTTTCTTTTTTTTTTTTTAATATATATAACATAAAGTCGAGAAAGAAGACAAGATCGATAATATAGCGTGTATAAGCAGAGATTTACTTCTGAAAACTTTTTAACGACTGTGGAGGTCTTCATAAGCGTGCAGTGCAGGTGCAATTCGTTCATTTGTAAACTTTGTATTTCTTAAGGGTACTTGCAATTGTCGTACTTTCTCACAGCTGCTCCTGCAAAAATTTTAACAAGCCGCGACAATTTTATCGCCAATTTCAACTTTCGCAATTACGCTTTCTCGCGAGGGTGGTGTATAAAGTGATTTCACTGATGGCTTCGCGGAAGAGAGATATGTTGCACCAGCAAATAAGAAACATGAAAACCCTTCAGGCTCCATGAAAGATTTATCGTCGGTCGACTCTCCATGCAGAAAATGCATCGCGTAATCGCTGAGTTTGTCGTACCGCGTTTAGAAATGTTCTCACAATCGGTCGTCCGTCATCGTCAAAGTGAATCTCGCCTTAACGCCGTGCCGTGTAATATCCATGATTCACGTGACGCCTTAATTTTGTTTTTACAATCCGATCGCGCGCCGCATCGCTAACTCGATAAAAGTCGGTAAACATCGGTACACGTGAGGCTTATTTCTGGAGGAGGGATCGATTAAACTTTAAATGGATATTCTTATATTAGACAAACAGTAAGTTGAGTAACGTCTGTGATAAAAATCAATGTGCGTATCGTTTGCATTTTACGCAGCCTTCAAATTTTCGAGTCGAACAGCTTGGTCGAATCGCCCGAGGCGATTTAAAAATAGAGAACGTCTGGAAATCTATACTATTTTAAGATCCGACAAGAAATTCGTTCAGCTTTATTTCGGATTGGCAGACATTTGTCATATTTTATTAGGTTGGATAAGATGCGACTGTGCACGGCTTAATTGGCAAACGGCATTGGCGAACTCGTTCGCATCGTGCAGGACAACAAGATTGGCGTGTCGGGCAATACGGTTTCCTCTTAAAAAACAAGGCGAACCAATCGACAACCAGTTTCCGTGGAACGAGCAACGTGCACGATATTATCTAATTTCTGAATTATTTATCACACGTCGCCCTTCTTCCACTGGTTCGTCCGTGCCGTTTTCGCATTTCGGTATCGATTTTATGGTATTGATTGCTAGAAACGAATATTTAATTATTTTTTTCCACGATTCCTCACGTTCCCGTTGTGATGCTTGCTGTGTTTATAAGTTGAACTCTGATTTCGTATAAACGTTACACACAGTCTAGATTTTGACTGCTTCACTTAAAAGAACAGCAACATCTATATATAATTCTCATTGTGTTAATATTAATACCAATATGATGTGGATTCAACATCATGGCTTTTAAATTCCAACCAATGATGTTAATGTAAAACATCAGAGGTTTAAAATCCACACTATATATTGGTTGGTTGACGTTGATGTTAATGTTAACAATATGATGTGGATTTAGCACTCTATAAGATTTTAAAATCACACCATGACGATGTTATATAAACATCAGAGATTTGAAATCCACATCTCACACAAGTTGGTATTAATATTAATACCAACACAGTGAGAATTAGGTACACCTTATGCACTCTAAAGCTCACCGAGAGAGTACGCCGAAAGAAAAGATTAGCTGCTGCAGAAAATTAGATGGTAAATTATGGCATAATATTTTTAACTGGGGGGCTGCAGCAGCCAATTAAAAATGCTACGTCGTATTCAGCCAATCTTTTCTTTCAGGGGTATCTTTGCCAAAAGAAAGCACTTCTCTCTGACAAAATTTCATTTGAAATCGTCGTTGAACTGTAGGTCTATGACTGTACAATCAGTGTGTGCGCATCACAAGCATATGAGAGAAGTCACATCGCGTTCGGACTACGAACAATAGGATTGAGGAGGACACTCTAAAAAATATAATAGGTGTGGATTTAACACCTCTGTGGTGTAAACCTCTGATTAATATTAACATCAACGTCAACCAACCATAGTGTGAATGTTAAATCTCGGACGTTTATATTAACGCCATGGTTCGAATTCAACGTCGCATGGGTGTAAAATTCACATCGCAGGTGTTAAATCCACACAGATTTTTTCAGAGTGTCGAAATGATCTACATTGTTTCACGATGATTGTTATTAAAAATATTTGTTTGCCGAATATATTAATATTATTCATTAGCGGACCCCTGTAAGAATATAATACAGAATCTTTGCGTTCAGAGATATTTTCAGGTGGATTTCAAATTTATGAGTTTGTGATTGCGGATCGTGACATATAGCGTCACGTTTTACGGAAAAACCACTGTGCTGGATGTCTTTCACAGCCACACTCATTTCGTCGTGCAGGAATCGGGTGTACGAGAAGGTCCGAGGGATCGATAACGCGGATAATCGAACGTCAAACGGGGACGTGACCGTTTGGGCCCTCCGCCCTCGCCTCGAGCGAGGAACCTTCCGGTTCCTTTCCAAAGTCGCGAATAATACCGCAGATCGTGCTCGATAACCGCGTTCTTCGAGGATGGATCTCGATGGCGCGAAGACATATCGATGATCCGCGTGAGAAATGTTTGTCGATCTGAGACGACGGTCTAATCTGTTTCATTCCGCATCTTCAATCTTTGGATCGATAAACGACATCTTCAGATACTATATCGTCTCACGTTTTTATACAGAGGATCAGCGATTTGAATTAATTTCTTATCAAAGGATTTATTTGCAAAACACGCTTATAGTTCATTCAGTTTAATCCTAATCGATATTTTTTCGAAAATTTCCTTAATATCCGCCGTGTACTGTATTTTTTTTGCTCAAAATTAACATAGTTGAACGATTTTTTTTTATTTCGTGACCAAAATACGAGGAATAAAATTACGCAATTTACAATTATATAAGATTGTGGAAAACATTTGTTATAAATAATTTTTTACAACGGAGCTGAGGAAAGATGTCTCCGGCTGGATCCGTGAATTTCGATTACGGTTAAAAGTTTCTCCAACAAACGATTAATAAATAATATTATGAGGATGAAAACGATACAACTTATGGTATAATTAGCGTAGTTGGACTATAATATTGCTGGTTGCTAAATTTACTCAATAGCGGGAATGGAAACACATACACGCCGAATGATATTTCGCTCGGTTATGAGAAATTCGATATTTATACTTGCGCTTGTGGCCATGGCGTTGCGAAATTAGCAATTAACGTTAACAGCGCCCGTTGTATCTCCATTGCACGGCTTAATTCAAAATAAGACAGAACGATGTTCGAAACGCCGCTGACAGTGAATTCTGGGACGTAGCCAGAGCCGAAGCTAATACCATTAACCCAACAATCGCTAAAGTGGCAATTAGACTTTGAAGACGAAGCCGTTTGTACGACACTTCGGAACTGAGATTCCATATATATAGTATATATATATATGTGTGTGTGCAAAATGATACGAGATGGAAACTGGTACACGGCGATGGCGAAAACATATTCCCCATTTTCATGAAAACGCGGATTTTACGCGATTTTATGCGTACCATGTTACGAATGTTACATCGGCTTTTCCAACAATATTTGTTTAATCATTATTTCGAATTAGAAATGTCTTTCATGGATTATAAATAGCTATTGGTTTTTCACAGTTTGTCAGAGGAATTATTCGAGGGTGGATAAGATCGACACATGCGCTGACGGGATACAAAGCGGGATATATCCTTAATGTAAGTCTCTGATACAAAGCGCGAGTCTGTGGTACAACGGAGAACTCTCTAAGCGGAGGATTTCCTTTATGAAAATAGGATTCAGCGGTACCGGTAGATCCTCCAAGTCTTAGCCTGTCGCTTCGACTTAATTGCCAAGATTATCCTTATGTAAATACATTCCTCTATCGCAAGTTACGCGTCGTGGTACGCTAAGACAGTCCCGTGATAAGGAGATTGCGAGCTAGCTTGGAAAATAATCGTCGCGGGATGTTGAGGGTGCCGGTGGTACCGAGTTTTCGCGACCCTTAGCCGACGGTGGTTCTCTTCAACTTTCTCGAACAGCTCTTCGGCTGGGGGTCGCGAAGGGGTAGGGATCGCTGGTAGAACGGCAGGGGAGATCGGTGGTGGAAGAAAAGCGGTTGCCCTCGAGAATTCTGCCCCCTCCCGGGGGTTGTGTAGGTGTTAATCGCGACTTGTGTGCAGCCCGCTGAAGAACGTGGAGGAGAACATATACGGGGGCCCGGGTATAGGCGAGCAGCATAATATCGACCGTAGATGTTGTTGATGCAAACGGTAACCACGGGTGACACGAGCCGGTTGACCAATTGCAGTCTTCACGGTGGCCGTGCCCGACCAATCGTCTAGCGGTACGCTGCCGGTTTTTTGATTGGGCGATACCAGGGATAAGAGACCAGTTCGAGGCCACCGAGACCCACAAATGAACGTGGACGTACCAAGTGGAGAACATCGGTCTGCTGCGGTGCGAAGTGCTCGTCGTTCATCATCATCCTCGTCCTCGTCCACGTCGAACTACCTACTTGGTCGCCGTCTCGATCGTCTCTTCTCCGTGTGTGACGCGACCTTTGGATAACTATTCCCGACCTTTGGATTTTGTGTCTATTTCTCGGTTCTCCTGAACCTCTTCTATGTAAGATCTTTTTACAATCAGCTTTACAGTCGTTCGTTATTATCCAACACGACCACCACCACCAGCACGCCACTATGAACGCACTTGATGCCTCACGTTATATTCTGCTTTATTATCTGAAATCTCTTAATTTGATAAAAACCATCCAATTTCCTCCGTTTCCTCTTTTCGGCAAGTTTTTTCTATACACCACATTAGTTGAACGCAAAATGGGATTAGCTTTAAAGTAACATCTAATATCTCCAGGTCCTTCATTTTTCACTTTAGGTATATCATTTTTAGGCCGATCTAAAGTCAAATCTCTCGGATGTTCTTTCATTTTATTGAATTATTTCATTTCTTGATCGACCCTCGTCGTTTGAGATATTAGAGAGTTTAGAATAATCTTGTATTTTCTGTACCTCTAACTAATCTCTTTCCAGCTTTATAGCCGAACCAGTGTAGAATTTCGCAAATACGTGTTCTTTTTATGCACAATATTTCGAAATCGTCGACTTATCAGGAAGATGATCGGATTGCTTTTTCTTTCGTTCGTTATTCTTGCATTTCGATTGTTCGCGAGAGTACTTAAATCGATCGAACTCGGCTCGCTTGCGATTCGGTTGAAAAGGATACGTCGTAGAGCAGCAGATCGCAAACTAACAAAGTGGATTACAGTGTACTTTGAGCCTCTACACTTTTCGTCGCTCAGGCGCGTATTTTGCATCGGATTCGCTCGCTTTCAGCCGCCACCACCACCACCATCACCACCACCACCACTACCGACTGTCACTGCCGACCCCTCTCGGTTGATCTATGTGTTTGCCGGAGCGAAATTAAGTTATTTCATTATCGCACGCCATTGTAGCCAGTCTCGTCTGTATAGACGTACCGTTGTTTCGGCGCCGGGGTGGCTTCGTCCGTCTCGGAGAAAAAAAAAAAAAAACTCGCACGAGACACATCACGAGGATTCTATAAGTTTTCGTCTCTCTCTCTCTCTCTCTCTCTCTCTTTCTCTCTCTCTCTCGCGATTAAGTGACGCATTATTCATAAATTCGG